TTTCACCAGCTGGCTGGTGCCCCCCTCTTTTGTGTGTGTGTGTGGGGGGGAGGGTTAGTGTGGTTTTGGCAATGTATTTATTTATTTATTTGGTTTGTCAATTGCTTACAAGATAATAGGTATAAGGATAAATATAGTTATGAATACATGGATACATATAAGAAAAAGAAAAGAAACACTAGGACAGGGATGGTAGGCACGTTGGTGCGCTTATGCACGCCCGCTACAGACCTCTTAGGAAAGGGGTGAGGTCAATAGTAGACAGTCTAAGGTTAAAGTTTTTGCGGCTTAGGGAAGAAACCACAGAGTCAGGTAGAGTATTCCAGATATTGACCACTCTGTTGCTGAAGTCATATTTCCTGCAATCAAGTTTGGTGCGATTAACCTTGAGTTTGCGTCTATTGTTTGCTCTTGTATTGTTATGGTTGAAGCTGAAGTATTTATTGACAGGTAGGACATTGCAATGTATGATTTTATATATTATATTTAGATCGAACCGGATGCGGTGTATTTCTAGGTTTTCTAGGTCTAGAATTTCGAGTCTGGTGACATAAGGTATTCTGCATCGAGTAGAGGAGTGGAGAACTCTTCTTGTGAAATATTTCTGGACTTTCTCAACTGTGTTAATATCAGATACATAATGTAGGAATCCAACTTTGGATAATTATTAGCTGTTAGTATGCATAGTTTTTCTTTTGCTCTACGCCAATATAATTTATATTATGTCTTACACAAAGAGTATAATATTACACATACCTGCACAGCTTTGAAGTTGGCTGCATCGTCAATGCCCTGCAAGCTTGCAGCTTCCTTGTTGAGGTAGTTATAAAGGCTGAATTTTCTTTCAAGTTTCAGCTGTTCTGTTGAAGCGAAGGAATTGTGAGAACAGAGTCCTGAGTATCACCCCCTCCAGTCAAGAGGGTTTTGTGTTCAGATGCTATACAGGTAGTCCTCAATTAACAACAGTTCATTTGGTGACTGTTCGAAATTACTTTAAAAAAAGGCACTAAAAAAGGTGACTTATGACTGTTTTTCACACTTATGACTAGTGCAGCATCCCCATGGTCACATGATCAAAATTCAGACACTTGTCAATGGGCTCATATTTATGATGGTTGCAGTGTCCCAAGGTTTTGTGATGACCTTTTGTGACCTTCTAATAAGCAAAGTCGATGGGGAAGCCAGATTCATTGAACAACCATGTTAGTAACTTAACAACTGCAGTGATTCACTTGACAATTGTCATACAATGGGGCAAAACTCACTTAGCAAATCTCTCACTTGGCAACAGAAAACCTGGGCTCAATTGCGCTTGTAAGTAGATGATTACCTCTAATGTCTTTTTGGTTCTCCTGTGCCAATCAGTTTCAAGCTAAAGCAGACATTCCATATCTTGCCTTTAATATGACTTGGTATTTTGGGCCGAATGTACTGACTTGCATAACTCCATTTACCACAATCTGATATCTTCTAGCTGCTTTAGACTATAACTGCCATGGCCAGTTAACATGCTGCTGTGGAAATACAATGGAGATGGTTGTACAATGTACCTGGATGGGAATATCCCACTCTGGTTCCTGCTATTCCGTGTCTTCCCAGCTGCTGGGAAGAAATGGTCCAGCACGGGAATGGGACAACTTGCTGCAGCCAACTTGCTGCAGCCAACTCACCACGGTCAACTCACAACAGTCAACTCATTGCGGGACAACCTGCCACGGCCAACTCGCCATGGGAAAACTTATTGCAGGACAATTTACCAATTCTATTTAATTATTTAAAATAAATAAAAATTATTTTAATTTTTGCCATTTACATTTCATTCTGTCCCTCCTTTTGCATCTTTTCTTTAATGGTTCTATTCCACCAATTTTTTGATATTAGTATAACTCTTCTCCCACAGTGAGTTGTCCTGTGGCAAGATGGCCGTGGAGAGTTGGCCATGGTGAATTGTCATAGACCCATTTAACACAATGGTTCTCAACCTGGGGTCTCCAGACCCCTAGGGGGATCGCAATGTCAACACAAGGGGTCTGCGAAGACTTGAAAAAATGTTATGATTTAAATCTCAAGTTAAGAGATTTTAGGGACTGTGGTGATAATCCATGGCCATTTAAAGAGGGCCCATGGTGAGGGAAAGGTTGGGAACTATTGGTTTAGCATCTTTGGCTAGCCACACCTCAAATGAGTTGAGAAGACAACATTTCCTGAAACGAGTTTTCCAAATTCCAACAATAGATTGTTCCTGCATTCCCCTTATTTCAACCTCCCCCATCTCATGTCCCTTTCTCATTGTGTGTGTGTGTGTGTGTGTGTGTGTGTGTGTGTGTGTGTGTGTGT